GTGCCATTCCACATTATTACAAATAACTTAATTTCTGGACATTTATGGTTTGATTTCTTTGGATCACTTGGGTTGTTACTGACTGGTGAAATTTTCATGTCATTAGCACCTCTAGTAATATATTTACTGAGAAAAATGGTGACGTGTTCAATATTTATTTTACCCGCTGTATCTGGCTTTGCATGATAGAGTTGTAGCATGTGCTTGTAGATGTAGAGATGAACTGTGTTCAATGACGACAGTTTTCTGACATGTCCCTTAGCCCATGTGGTAATATCCGTTACAGAGTGATGTTTGATCAGGCTTTTCAAGTTTTATATTTGTCTAAATGTAATGACTCTTTAAAGCAAGTTGGAAGGATTAGGATCTCGTTCAAACTTTATTTTTGACACAAAATTGCATGAGTAAATAAATTACCATTTACTTTTACACAAATATACATTTTGGTACATGTAGATTAAAATGTCATTGTGTAAAAATGTATAAAAGATAAAAAAAAGGCAAGTATAAGCAGTGTTTGGCTGTAATCAAACTGCTGCAGTGGTTTATTTCAAGCACCAATAATTGAAAGTTTTCAAATGACATACCTCTGGGTGTTTGCAACAAAGCAAATGGGCAAAAGTCGAGTCTGGTTGTTTTCAGAACGGATCCAAGCCGTGGTCAACGTCGCCAAGGGACCAACTGATGCAAAGCCTACCCTGTACAGGTCAGGGGGGCCGACCACTGCCACCTCCAAAACACTGCAAGGAAGGAGAGAACCCCCTTTAGTTCTAAAATTAAAAAATTAAACAAACCCAAAGAAAAGCTCCAAAACTCCAACAATCGGCTCCTAAAACTGACAAACAGGTAGACAGTGATGTAACTAATCTGCACTGCTCAACGTGCATCATGTACAAGTCATGTCTGCTTCTTTTAGAGTACAGAAAGACACATGCATCCTGTTTATGTCTGTGTGACAACCACATTCAGCAACAGAGGTTTCATTATTTTGTACCAGGGAAAAATGAAGCTAGAATGCACAATTTGTATGTTAGAGTAGATTCTCTTTTATCCAGGATACAATATTCCTAACAAACTGGATGAATGGCAGCAGAACTTGTGACTTGATCAAGTGAAAATACACAATTGGCTTAAAAAACAAAGTCTATCTCAACTGATCAGAACCACACAAGTTATAGCACAGTTCTCAAAACTGCAGTCATGTGAAGCTGAACTAACAGATTTCTGATTATTGTCTCATATCTGCATACATCTTAGTAACTGGAGCTCTGAACTGATTTGTTAACAAGAAGATAAGTGTGATAAATAGAAAACCTTATTGTGTTACAATTAGATAAGTAGACTACACTACAAGAAAAAAAAATATTTCTGCCATCCTATAGGTGTAATGCATTGTTGCAGTTATTAAGATTTCTTTATACATAAAATCTGTAATTAATAAAAAGAACTTTAAGAATGTTGGTAACTAACATCTAGAATCAACACAGACAAAGGTTGKTTAGCTAACTCAATGGGGTTTTAGATCATATCTGTATACACACAAACTATGTAACAAAACTAAAGCAGCAAACTCAGCTGTGTAATTAGACACGACTGCAGCTCACAGAAGGATAATGTGAGAAAATAACGTGACGCATTTGTGTCTTCACAAAGTTTCTCAGGGTAATATAAGAACACTTAGAGATAAAACTATTAACGCCACTTATTTTTAGGACATTGTTGACGCACCTCTCGAGATTTGACTTGTAGTTTGTGTTGAACTTCACCTCCTGGAAGGGCATGACAAAGAGCACAGAGTGCTGCTCAGGGGTCCCATCTGTCACCACTGGTTCAGTTCTGCAGCTGAAACTCCACTCTTCCACTAGAAGACAGGAACAAACATGCTTCAGAAACTTTTTAAACATTATGTACACAGCCTTAAATCAATCTAATTTAAAACATTTGTGATTCACTATTATAATCTACAATATGTTTATATGAACTGCAGAAGATGGGAATAACTTTTATATAAAAAAAGACTAACTCATGAGCTCCAACCACATTTGAGCTTCAGTTTACTAAAAGACCCAGACAGAAGCATGAAGCAGTTGCTGTTTAAAAAAAAAGTTCCAAATTTCTAAAGTGAAATGTCATCTATAGAGATTTAACTTTCATTTATAAACTTTAATGCATGACACGMTGAGATGAGCTGCCAGCAAAAGCTTCTTGTGTCTTAAAAGAACACATGAGCACAACCTAACACCCTGTCACACTATAACATTTTACACAATTTATGCCAACTTCTGACAACTTTAAAGACCTCTATGTTGAAAATKGAGTTAAGAAAATAAAATGGAAGCCTATTTTAGGCGTGTTCAACAGATTGATCAAATACAGTATATAGCTTTTATTAGTAGACATAAACAGACAAAACAATTCTATRAGTTGGCCTAAGTTGTTTAAAACATTATAGTATGACAGGGCCTTTAGATTCTCAATATTGCATCTGTGGAAACCAGAAGATCTTTGCAAGATTTTTTTTTTGACAGACARAAACACAAAAGCAAAGYTTGGTCAGAACTCATCACAGTATAGAAGGTGAAACTCAAACCTCTCACTCAGTACAGACTACCAAGCACCTGTGGGGCTGATGATGTTTGGCTGCTAAAGGAACCTGCAGTTATAAAGCTGACCAAGAACTCCTCTGTGTAACAAAGTATTTGATACACAGAAGACGCCAACAGTCTGACAATGAAAGCTTGGCCCAAAATGTCATGCAACAGGACAACAATCCCAAACACGGCAGCAAATTTACACCAGAATGAATGAAGGCGTTGCAATGATCCAATCAAAAGTTCAGACCTCACCATGAATAATTTGATTTTGTAAACACAAGATGACATCATCAACGTATTGCTGCTGAAGGAGACTCTACACTGTTCGGCATCATTGGGTGCACAAAGGTTTTGAAATGCTGTTTAAGCTCATAGTCCAGAGGTCTGCAACCTTTACAATCAAAACTGCCCTTTCTGCTTGTTTGGCCTCTAAATAAAATGTGTGCTGAACATCGAAATGTGCTAGAACTGTGATGGTCCACTGGCAGCCCGTAGTTCACTTCCAGCTGGCTGAAAACACTTTAACAGCCACTAAGACTGAGGACACCTTCACTAGAAGCTCGAGATGAAGAAAACATATTAACTATTATTTATTACATTATAGAAGTAAAAATCAAAAATAAATGGTTGATCTTTTTTTTTTTACGTTTGAACTAAAGAAAAAATGATATTCATGTAAAGAAGGAGGAAAAAATATTTCAAAGCTGAAAGGTGGGCGWTTGTGTGCATCTGTTAGCAAAATATCTCATGAACCACTGAATAAATTTGAATAAAACTCAGAGAGAAATCACTGGATGTACAGCTACAACTGATTAACTTTTGGAGTAAACCCAATTTAAGATGGTGCTACAGTTATTGACTGTAAGTCTAATTTATCTAAGCTGAAGTTTGAYGTGATAGATGAGAGTCACAATGAGCACAAATAAATAACAAGAAATCTTTGTTTTAATGCACAATTTATCACATGTAGTTGGTCATGTAAAGCTGTGAAATGAAAGAGGCAGCCCTGTTTGATTCAGAATGACTGTGGAAACGACAGACTTACCACTGAGAGAGAGGTGCAAGGGCACGGAGCTGAGTGGGGTGATGTCAATGACTTGGCTTATTTTGGGAACAGGGATCAGGTCCTCTGCCATCAGGTRGATGAAATACTGTCCTGGGACTGCATTTCCAGTAAATGACAATAYGCATTTCTCCTGATAAAACAAGTCAGCCAAAAAAAAAAAAAAAACATTAACAGGAGGACTTTCCAGACTCAAATATTCTGTGGGAAATCAAACTGATAAGATCAAAAATACACAAAATAGTTATAATAATAATAATGAATCAACATAGCGTAGGTCTTTTATCTGCTTTCAACTAAACTAACAAACGCTAAATTGGATCCTGTATTTTACAGCAAGTATTGAAGTCATGTACTGAATGATGCGTCCTTCTGAGAAGCAGGCAGCTGGTAAGTCAGCAGGACTGAACGTTCTTACATGTCTCTGTAACTGAGCTGCACAGTAAGACCAGGAAATAAACACGCTGTTCAGGTTTATTGTCTTAAATATTGCTGCAAAACAATAGAAAATAATAAAACAATAAAAAGTTATTTTAAAGTYATTTCAATCACCATAATCCCTGAAAACCTTGTATTTTACATAAACCCCTAAGTCCTGGAATTTTTATTTTTATAATTTTTTTCAACAAGGCAGTTGGAATGGAGACGTTTTATTTGCAAAGTTAAATTGCGCGTAAAAAGACTGAGGAGCCTGGAGCGTTGAAGTTGTGTTTTGATTTGATTCAATTCAATTCAGTTCATTTCACTTCAGTTAAATCAAATCAAATTAAATTAAATTAAATTAAATTAAATTAAATTAAATTAATCCAAAAGGAAAATTAATTATTAAGAATGTAACGACTATGAAGAACAGATTATGCATAAGATTTATTTGTAGGTAGAAAACAAGGTGGTGTATTTGAGGACAGTTTAGAGGAGTTGTCCTTTAGTTTAGCTTTTATAGTTTAAATCACTTTATATTTTTTAAAATCTAATCTACTTGTATATACACATATACATTAAAAGAAGACATACATATACACTTACTAAAAACGTTAGGATTGTTCTGTTATGGCCTGAAAACACTGACATTTGCTTTCAGAAATGCTGAAAACAGAACGTTACCTCATCCAGTGTTAGGAAAGCATGCTGAGTGCAGTTCAGGCACTCTCCCTTGTCGGCTCGGGCAAAACGACACCTCACCTTGTCCCCATCCAGGTCCTTCACAGACAGCTGGAAGTCCACAGGACAGTTCTGACGGGCTCTGTGTCAACAGAACAATAATCAGCATGACAAAACGTATGACGTGTCAGTAAAAACAGGATGTTTATGGAAACTGAAGGCAGCACTACAAGACWTGCAACCTCTTTATTTGGTTTAAGATAAACTTTTTTTTAAACTTATTAATCACTCTATGGCCAGTTTTTGCTCTCTAACAACTTGATCTTCAGTAAATTTAATCCTGGGTCATCAGCAGCACGACGGAACAGTGGTTAGCACTGATGCCTCACAGCAAGAAGGTCCTGGGTTAGATCCCCAGTTCAGACCTGGGGTCTTTCTGTGTGGAGTTTACATATTTTTCTTCRTGCTTGCGTGGGTTTTCTCCCACAGACCAAAAAACATTCATGTCAGGCTGCCTTCAGGCCTCCCTYGCAAAAGAGATCTGTGATCTCAATGGGATTTGCCTGATTAAATAAAGGTTAATAAACTTTTTAATTAAAATATTGTGCGATGTTGGGGATCGGTATCAGCTACTGTCACATTGAACTCATTATCTGTAAAACCATCTGTGTTAGTTACAGTAAGTTGGACTGGCTGTGGCCATCTGAGATCATCTCGACTTCAAAAGTGCATGAGTTATAGACGTACATTCACTGATCACTTCCTGCAAGTTTCTGTACAACTTTAGTAGTTCATGAGGTATTACAATCTCATAAGCTGTTAAAAAACTAAAAAAAAAAATCTATCAAACACAAGAGGTTTGTGTCCCTGATCATTCAACCCTCTGATGCTTTGATTTCCTTCTTTTATTTATTTTAACATTTCAAGCTAAGCTAATCCCTCGTGTGTGTGTGTGTGTGTGTGTGTGTGTGTGTGTGTGTGTGTGTGTGTGTGTGTGTGTGTG